AATAATTTATACCGGAAATTAACAAACGAGCAGATACGTAACAGAACAAATGGTCCCCTGCTGTCTATAGGTTATGGTAAAACTTGGAAACTCTTTGCTATGGTAACACTCCCAAGAATTATTAACGCTTAGACACTCGTTGATGACAGAAGTAGAAAAAGTAATATTAATAAATAATCAATAACTTATACTTTTTTTTGTTAAAAAAATAGTTTTGAGTCATTTTTGAATATTTAACAAAAAATAACGCTTGCAATGGAATTCGGTTGTCTTAAAAATTAAAAAAAGTTTTTCAAGGAGGGAAATTTTTCAGTAAACAGATCCTTCGTTAAATATATCTTCATTGTTTTCAACTCAAGGTAAAGCAAGTGATGGCTGACCTCGCATTGAACCAAGTAGCCAATAGAGAAGTTAGTAGTCTCACACCTAGCGAATATAGACGTCTGGCTATTGGAAGTGAGCTGGTAAGAGATCCAGGTAAAAATATCTTTACTTCAGTTCACAAATATACTGTTAATTTATTCAGTGTTGTATTTGTATAAACTGAACTCTATTCCACCAACAACGTTGAGACAAGAGTATTGTTTAATATTATGTTTGTGTGAACTCTTTACTCCACTAACAGAGTTGAGCCAATAGTATTGTTTAATATTACGTTTATGAAACTCTTTACTCCACTAACAGAGTTGAGCCAATAGTATTGTTTAATATTATGTTTATGAAACTCTTTACTCCACTAACAGAGTTGAGCCTAGTATTGTTTAATATTATGTTTATGAAACTATTTATTCCACTAACAGAGTTGAGCCTAGAGTATTGTTTAATATTATGTTTGTGTGAACTCTTTACTCCACTAACAGAGTTGAGCCAATAGTATTGTTTAATATTACGTTTATGGAAACTGTTTACTCCACTAACAGAGTTGAGCCTAGAGTATTGTTTAATATTACGTTTATGAAAATTGTTTACTCCACTAACAGAGTTGAGCCTAGAGTGTTGTTTAATATTATGTTTATGAAACTGTTTACTCCACTAACAGAGTTGAGCCAAGAGTATTTTTTAATATTACGTTTATGAAAACTATTTATTCCACTAACAGAGTTGAGCCTAAAGTATTGTTTAATATTATGTTTATGAAACTATTTACTCCACTAACAGAGTTGAGCCTAAAGTATTGTTTAATATTATGTTTATGAAACTATTTACTCCACTAACAGAGTTGAGCCTAAAGTATTGTTTAATATTATGTTTATGAAACTATTTACTCCA